ATCCACCTGGATTTAATTTGGGAATCCCAGGGAGAAGGAAATGCCATCCCCAGGGCTACGGGCTGGGCTCCTGCTTCGTCCTCAGCCCTCCAGCATCCCTCTGGTGCTGGCAGGGGCTGGAAATGAGGCTGAAACTGTACTTCTGCCCCTTCAGACACATCAGGCTGATGGAGGACCAGCCCCAGCAGCCTCACAGCTGCCCTGAAGCTTTTAGGCAGCATGCCCAGCTTGCTGGGAGCAGCCAGCACCCCGGCTTGCCCTATCCCAGCCAGGGGGTGACCACCTTCCTCTTGCGTGATTGCCTGGGGACACCTTCTTAAATATAGGCAATGCCCTCTCACTGCAGCCGAGGATCCCTCCTTGCACTGGGGGTGTCTTTGCATCACCAGCTCCTTGGAGCCAGGCTTCTTTTCAGAGCAGCGCTGCCCTAACTGTACAAACGACGGTGCAGGGGATGCTGGCGCAAGAGCCAGTTTGCTGGCAAGGGTGGAAGCCCTGATGGGACGGGGACAGTGGTAAGAGGGAAAAAGATGCCAGGTACAAGACCTGCCTTTCTCGGTGAGAGATGGCCCTCTGAGACATTTGCAACGGAGAATATCACTGGGCGCAGAAGGCCCCCTCCCTCCCGGCGCTCAGCTATGCTCGGCCAGGACAGCCCCTCGCCCGGCACATCCCGGGTAGGAAGCCTGCACCAAGGCTCGGGGAGCAGCAGTTTCGGCTGCTGGTGGGGGAAGGAGCTGTACTGGGCTTCTCTATGTTCCTGCAGGTGTGCTCTAGGGAGGACTGGGCTATGCCATGAAACCTTTGCAGTGCCGTAAACGTGCACACAAACACCCTGGAGAAGACAGACGTGCCCTTCCCAACACACCGAGGCACACGGAAACACCCACGAGCACACACGTGTGCATACACATACACTGCTCACCCCCGGAGCACATCCACGGGTAGCGGCACGCACCGACACACACTTAGTGCACGGCGCACACACAAGCGGGTTAGGCACGCACAAAACCATGAATGCACACGCACACGCACACAAACAGGGGTGCAAAGTAGCACACTGAATACAGGCACACACACATGACCCCCCCCACCGAGGAGGCCAGAGGGGAGCGGCGTGTGTCCCGGCCCCACGGACACACAGAAAGCACAGGAGCCACAGACGACACACGCCCCCGCGGCCCACATACAGGTGGCTGCTGCGTGGCTCCCACATCGACATGTGGTGTCTCCTTCGCCTGTCTCTTCTGGGGAGGAAAAACAAATGGGTTCAATCCCCCCTTCACCCCTCCTTTAACTTGTGTGGGCAAGGCAGAGAGATGTCCCCCCGCCCCGGGCAGCCAGCATCTCTCTGCCTATCGGCCACAGGCTGCTGGGATGCTGGAGCGCAGCAGCCAGCAGCGAACCTCTTGCACATACACGCTTGCACACCGGCAGCGAGCTGCCTGCAGGGCTGCCCGCGCTCACACTCACGTGCTGCACCCGGATTCCCACATCCCACCGTGGCACACGTCGCTGCCATCTAGGGAGATGCATGCAGCAATGCTCGTGCTGGGGATGCAGATCCATCTCGTGGGGGCCACAGAGCCTTCCCTGCACCAGCCAGCCATGCAGCAGTGGCATGGGGAGAGCAGTGCAGGCTGCAGCACCTCAGAAGCCCTGGTACATCCTTAGATATTTAACAGCTCTTTCAAACTCCTCCAAATTCACTTCTCCCGAGCAACATGTGACAATTTTGCAGAGGAAGCAATGTGTCAGAGGCCAGCCCCGAGCTGCTCAGAGCCATCACCATGGGTTGATGCTGCCCTGAGACTGCAGAGGGGAACGTGAAGCTCCCCAGCAAAAGCAAAGGCACAAGCCCAGGGCTGAGATGCCACAGAGCTCCTGTCACCTGAGCAGCCCTGATACAGAGAAGCTTAACAGGGCTGTCAGCCCTTCACCCCCACTGACTTCAGGCAGCTGGGACATTCAAGGCTTTATCCTTTGTGTCACCACAGAAAAGATTCAGATATGCACAGCTCCAAGCAAACAGCCACGAGCATATGTGCATGCAGTGATTTACAAGTTTTGCTCTTTGCAAATGCCGTGTGTGTGTGCAGGATATGCAAGCAAATATACTCCAACCACACAGGACTAAGCGCCCGCGTGCACGCAGAGCTCACGCAGGTGAGACGGGGTGCATCTCGCTGCCATCCTGCAAGTGCAACGATACCCTCAGCCCCTGGGTGAATCACGTTGGTGATTGCCTCCTTATGGCCACGTGCACGGGAACAGCCCGGTGCCATGCTCAAGGCAGAGAGTGAATTGCAGGCACCCGCCGCCATCCCCGCAGCAAGTGGCCGAGCCTTCAAACGCATCCACGCACCACGTTATGCACCAACACATGACAGCATCCGCATGCGTCCATCTGGCCACCCACTCGTCAAACAGCTCTGAGCCATCTGCACCAACGGCGCCCATGTACAAATACAATACTCCGATCGGCACCGCAGCTGCCCACGCCAACCTGGCCACGTGGGAGCATTCATCCCTGAGCACCACCGGACCTCTCTGCAGGCAGGAACGCGTGTACCAAACCTGCCTGCGCTGGGTACCCACATAGAAACGAAGCCATCTGTGTCTGCGCACACCCAAATGCAGAGACCGGCTTGGCTTCACGGTCCCGAGTTTTCAGCAGCCCTTTGGTACTGGCTCTGCTTTGGTTTGTCCCTTGCTATGATGTCCCCACCAGCCCTCCCTGGCTGCTGGCATCAGTATTGCACCACCGAAGGCACATCAGACCTGATGCTGGAGATGGTCACCCCCATGGCATTGCACCCCCTTCCTGCCACTGACACTATCCATCCTGATGAGGGGGAGGAGCTGGAAAAAAGATCTGCAAATATCAATACCTCCCATTTCAATGCCACTAGAACAACAACAAAAGGTTAAAGAGATCTGTTTTCCTAACCAGCTATATCTGACAATGGCTAGAAAACTCTAGCAGGGATGTGCAGCGTGGGCAAATCCTTTAATGCCCTAACATAGTCTATCTCTCTCTCTTCCTCTCTCCTATCTGCCCATCCTCCAGCCTCTTCTGCTGCCTATATCCCTTTATTCCCTCACTTTATCTGATACATTCCCACTGGTAGCCAGAGACGGTCACGACACACAGACTCTGCTCTCTCCTGTAAACCCCCCCAGTACTTGGCCAGGCACAGTTTTATTATGAACGTCCCATCACCCCCAAACCATGGCGATATCTGTGGCTGCTGGGAGACCAGGCAGGGCTTAGAAGTACCCCCAGCTCCTGCTGCCCCTAAAACCACGGGTGATGCATGCAGGATGGGCGACCATCGCATCCCACCACTGCCAAGCCAGGGAGCTGGGGCCATTCCTAATGCTGCCTCCAACCCCCCCCAGATCAGTGCTCGCCTGAAGACAGCGGTTTCTCTCGGCAAATCTGCAAGAGATTCTGCTGTGTATGAGCTTGGCTGGGTTTCAAAGCATAACGAAACCTAAAATTCCCTGGGAAAGGATTCTATAAAAAAAAAAAAAAAAAAAAAAACCTTTCAGCCATACTGAAATGTACTGTTTTGGGAAACAAATGTGTATGAGCTTGGCTGGGTTTGAAAGCATAACGAAACCTAAAATTCCCTGGGAAAGGATTCTATAAAAAAAGAAAAAAAAAAAAAACCTTTCAGCCATACTGAAATGTACTGTTTTGGGAAACAAATCAAAACGTCTCATTCCAATGTTGACTTTGAAAGTTTTATGTGATTTAGACCATATGACACTGCACAATAAAGGGAAAAAAGGTGTCTAGAAAGGAAAAAACAGAATTTTCTTCTGCTGAAACGCAGAGACAAGGCTCCTTAACACCACGCCGGGGGGTTATGTGGTTTGGGGCTTTTTTTCCTTGCCCAAATCAAATTTCTGTACAATCAAACATGGTTTTGCAAACCTGCTCCATCTCTCATAACTGCATTCACTACCAGGGAAGGAGCCTGGGGGAGATTTGTGACACCACTGCTCCCTTCTCCCCCAGCCCTGGCTGCAATCCCACAGCTCTGCCATGAAGAAACGCTCCCCGGGAGCAAATATTACCCCTCCTCAAGAAAAAAATGAGATACCTTCCTCCTTCCCAGCCTCCTTCCCCACCCCTAGCAGCAGCCCTGAGTGTTTGAGCTGTACATTTGGGGCAGAAAGCTTCTTGTAGTGGATTTCTGCCATGCCCAAGCTCTGAGGCTGCTGTTCAGGGCAAGGGTGAGCAAGCCCAGGTCCCGTGGGGTGAGCTGGTCCCTGCTCCGACACCTCTCCGAAGGCACTGCTGCTCACGGGGAGCATGCTCCTAGATCTCCATCCATCCCCAGGAAGACACCTGGAGAGGGAGTCACACTGTGCGGGGACCCCTTTTTACTGCGGCAGCCCCGCAAGCTGCCATGCCAGGCTCTGCTTCAGCTCTCCACCCTGCTGAGAAGCCCCGCTGGCCTTGGGGGGACACCGGGATAGTGGTCGGAGAGGGTCACTCACTCGATAGCAGGCATGTTTGGGGCGGACATGGGGCTGACTTCTTTGGCTTTCTGAAGGGCGTGCTTCTGGTTAAAGGCCTCCTCTTCCTCCTGCTCATCCTGCGGAGGAAAGAGGGGAGTTGCTTAGTGGGATGCTGGAGTTTCAAGGGAAGGTGCAGCCATCGGAGGCAGCGAAGGATGCACGGGGCTACCTTAGATACCAAGGCATGCGGGAGAAAAGGGGAGCCGGCACCTGTATTTCCAGAGACAGCCTTTATTTTATTATGGGGATGCAACTTCCCCACTATGCCAGATCTTACTGAAGGTGTCAGTGCTACTTAAATACGTGAACCCAGCACACTCCAGGCAAGAGCCGGGCTGTGCACGCTAGAACAGCCCCAGATGGCGTAGACCAACTCAGCCCTCCCTTCTTCAGAGCCACAGGGGTGAGACAGGCATCCCCCTGATGGAGTGGGAGGCAAGGCATCCATGAATGACCCCGGCAGAGACCGTATTGCTTTAATGAGTATGGTTGTGTCTCCAGAGCAAAAAATGTCATTAGGAGTCATTAGAATGCATTCAGCCTTTTCAAAAACTCAGTGCGCCCTTAATTGATACTACTGGTACGCCACGGGGCTCTCCCACCCCTCTCACCCCAGCAGCAGCCAGCAGTGCCACCTGCACCCACCGCGGGAGGACAGGGACCCCCGCACACACCCTTCAGGCAAACAAGCACCATGCCCCATTTCATTTGCTGCTAACAGGTCAGATTTACACCAGTGTGGAGGCCTCTCAGTAAGCCCCAAGGACCTGAGTAATAGGTATGGGCTCTGCAAGAAAACGGGCACCGCAGGATCGCTGGTTCCCTCCAAGGAGCAGCAATGACCCTTGCAGCTCTCGCCTACTCACCGTTATCCAGATGGTGGCCCAACATTTTAGCATTCCCCAAATATTTCCCAGCACGGTCTTAAAAACAGCTAAGCCAAATAACCTTCTCAAGCACCATCCTAAATTGCATCCTAAATCACGTCCACTGCCCCGCAGGCAGATGGGGAATAAATACTGACACCACTGGAAAGCACTTCCCACTCCGCATCTCCAGAGTGCTTCAGCAAATAACCGTCCCCACATCAGACCCCATCAGATAGATGAGGGTTATCTCGATCTGACTGGAGGCAAATGAAACTGAGGAGCTTAAATGGAGAAATAGTTAAGCCACACTTGATGGGAAGTGTGGCTGTTCCTGGAAAGACATGAGACCAACAGGTTTAAGTGCTTTCCTGTATCAAAGTCTAAATGGCTTTGCCCAGCGATATGGGTTTGTGTTTCAGGGGAGCACCCTGTGCACCCTCCTGGAGGAAGAGCCCCCACTTGCAATTTGACCTGACCTCTTTCCAAAGCAGGCTGAGCTAAAGGACAAGGTGGTCCCGGCTCTGGAGTGAGAACAGTCACAGGCAGTGCTTCTGGTGCCTTCCCTGCTGGCCCTCTTCTTCACTCTCTTCACACCAGCAAGAGAAGAAAAAGGAGCAACTGGAACATACCTTGGTGAGCTCCTGAGCGTTGGCCAGGTTGTCCACCGCAATAGCCAAGAACACGTTCAGCAGAGTATCTGTGAGCAGCTAAGGATGCACAAGGCATGTGTGAAGGACATGGGTGTCTGCAGCCACCAAGGGAGGGTGGCCCTGACGGCTCCTCACCAGCCTAGTGAGGAGCAGCCAGAGGGACAAACTCCTGACCCATCCCATATATACAGCCCCCAGTGCACCTCCAGAGGGCTCCTTCTCTGCATTTGGGATATCCAGGGCTGCTGCACATTTGATGGGACTCCCTCAACTGGGAGAGGAGGAAGGAGCAGTGGGTGGGGAGGGGGTGCCTCCAGAGAGGGAGATGAGATGGGGTTGTCTCCACTAAAAGAACAGCAGCCAGGTGGATACAGTTTCCAAACAAGGTGAGGACGATGAAATAGATGGAGGACCACATGCCTGAGCGAACGCCTCCCTGAGAGCGGATGCCGTTGTACATCACCTCGTTCCAGTCCTCACCCGTCAGGATCTGCAGGAAAGCAAGCCAGCAGCTCTGTCACCTGCACCTTCTCATCACCTGGACAGCCCCCTCGATCCATCCCACAAATGCACAGGAGCCAAGTACAGAGACCCTGTGTGGTGGATAACCCAGCTCTACAGCTGCAGCAATTGAGGGAGATGATGTTAGACACTGCTGAGGATTTAGGTATCCTCAGAAGAGTTTTGAAAATCTTCCACCTTCTGTAACACAGGTGGAAGAGTTTCCATCTCTTGCCATCCACTGTGTTGCACAGGCGAGAGGGAGGAAGTGAGTTATATCCTAACAGCTGATGGAAGGGAACTTGTTTGGTTTAAAAAGCCCCTTCCAGCCAGGGGGCAGGGAGCAGGTGGTCCCAAGTCCCTTTGATTGTGTCCCCTTGCAGCCCAGCTCCTACCTGGAACACCGTCATGATGGCCGCAGGGAAAGTGTCAAAGTTGGCTGATGGCGTCCCATCAATGAAGTTAAACCTGGAAGTGGAACCAGGAGGACATAAACGGGCTGGAGTACCAAGGTCATCAAACCCCTGACTGCTGTGCTATCAGCTATCTTGTGCTTAGGAGGACCTTTCCCCACGCTAAGGAAGGTCTCTCGAGCATTTGGTGCCAGAACTCAAAAGGTCTCCTGGCCAGAAGGACCCACACAGCCCAAAGGCACCCCTCGAGCAGGGACTTTTGTACGGCAGAAGTACCACTGTTAGCAGCAGACTGAGGGACAAGGCTACAGTCTTCCTAGGCACCTAAGAGGGTGTCATCACTTGGCTTTAACACCAAGAAATTCCTTTTCCCCAGACTTGAAACGACCTACCTGCCTCCAAACAGCTGCATTCCCAGGAGGGCAAAGACTACAATGAAGAGGAAAAGGAGGAAGAGCAGGCTGATAATAGACTTCATGGAGCTCATCAGCGAGACCACCAAATTCCTCAGGGATGCCCAGTACCTAGAAAACAGAGACATTGCTGGAGCACTCACAGTGATGCTGACAGGAGAGCAGGAGCGACTGGATCTGGGCTGCAGCCACAGTCGGAGATGAAGGGTGACAGGCACACATGGTTGGTACTTACTTGGTTATTTTAAATATTCGCAGGAGACGAAGGGCTCGTAGGACACTGATCCCAAAAGAGGTTCCTGGTCTGAAGATAGCCCAAACCACTTCGAAGATGCTTCCCACCGTGACCTGAGAAGCAGACACAGCCATGAGTCAACAACAGGCTCAGGACGGGCCGTTGCAGGAAATCTTCACGGGCCTGAAGACGAGGCACCCTCCACCCTGCCCAAGACCTGGTGTCTCGGTCTGGCACAGGCAGGCTGTTCCAGCAGAAAGGGCTCCCCTGCCCACTGCAAGGGCCATCCCGTTCTTCTCCCCCTTGGTGCTTGCGCTGCAGACACCTGCCAAACATCTCTCCCCACACCCACAGCATCTCTGGGGCCGCTTACCCCACAGTCAAAGCAGTTGAAGGAAGAATGGAAGTAAAGGCGTGGCCCCATCCCGTACATCTTTAAGGACATCTCCAGGAGGAAGAGCCCAAGAAACAGGAACTCTGCATAGTCTGAAAGAGAAAACCCAAACGCGCTAACCCTGGGGCACCGAGCTACGCGGAGCATCCTGCATGCACCCACCAGTGGCCCCATATAGCACACCACAGAGATGGGACAAGTCGAGGACCACGCTGCTTCCCCAAGCCCTCAGGGTTTGGGACGAGGGAAGCTTGTCTGTGAGGGGCTAAATTGTGTATAACAGAGCACCAACCCCACAAGTTAATCTTTCAGGGTAGGTGCACCAGTGTCCCAGGGGTTTGAGAAGACCAGAGATGGCCGGCATGGAGCAGAGCAGCTCTTTAGCATTATATGACAGTTGTTGAGGCATCTGCAAAGACATTAACCACACGACACTGTAGGGGAATATTAGCAACCTGGATTTAAATCATTGCATGGCTGGAACTTAGCCAGGGTAACCGAGCTGAACAGCCAACAGCCAGTGAAAAGCTTCTCCAGCTATTTCATGAACATTAGCAGGCAAGAGTCTGGCTCTTCACCTTGTCCAAAAGATGCTTCTCACCATGACCAGCTGCCGTACCACACCGTGGCGTGCTGGGATCCCGGCAGGCCTAAGCGTGCTAATGCAAATTTGGGCAGGCCCGGTGCTTGACGGGGACGTTTTCAAGGTGAGTAAGAATAAGAATAACATGGCTGAGAAAGCAGCACTGTCCCTACTGCAGCAGCTCAGGAGTAACACATGGCTGCCATGGGGTTGACCACGCTGCTCTGCAGTTAGCACCACGCTAGAATAGACATGGGTGTGCTGCCTCCGAGACCTGACCTTGTACCATGGCCCACGGTGCACTGGGGGATGCTCCAGTAACTGGTTTCAAGCTTGGGATCTCCATGCCATGCTCTGCACCAAAACTTTAACCAGGGGGTTCTCCCATGACCAGTCCCATCCCTGCAAACTCACGCCTTTCCAGCAATTGCTTGTGGGCATTCAAAGATGGATCTCCAGCAAGCTTTCCATCACCACTGTTCACAATTTTAGGATAAACCCAACTGAGACCTGCAGTCTGTTTGTCTCTCTTGACAAACACATCAGACCTGAAGGGCATGAGGCCACTAAAGCTCCTCCACATTTGCCCATAGGGCTGAGACAGCCATCAGTGGCCACAGGGCCAAGGGCAAAGCTGTATTAAATGGCTGTACACAGTCCTTTTTTTATCAACAGTGAATGTAATTCAGGTTATTCCCCACCCAGCTCCATACCAGCATGACTCTGGTGGGATTCATCCCCATGTGCCCTGGGGCAAGGAGCGAAGACGTGCTGCAACCTCCGGCTGCTGGAGATAAAAAGGTTGCAGGAGGTTTTGCCTGCCCACGCAGTGCTCTCACACCTACACAAAGCCCAGGGACTCACAGAGGAAGTGGGTGAGCCAGGCTGGCTGGTTGTGATGGACAATGGCCACGCAGGCAGTGTTGAGAGCCACCAGGCTCAAGACGATCCAGTAGAAGACCTGGGATTTCACCATGTGGCGAACAGAGATGCGCAGGAGTCGCTCCTTGTGCCGTAAGTAGGAGGCACCATCCACTCTGGCGCCTTTGAGGCCAGAGTGACTCAAGGGGTTACCTAAGGGAAAAGAGGGGGGAGAAGGAGTTGGGTGCTCCAATCAAGGTGAGAGAAGGAGTTGGGTGCTCCAGCCTTCTCCACAACATGAGACAGGACAGACGGCTCACAGACATTGCTTTTATGGGACATGACTTAACCACACAGTTTTTAAATGGTACAGGGGGCAGTGGGTCGTTTGCCCCCTTTGCTGTCAAACTAGCAAAGATGGCTGATTTGCGACCATCTCCACATGACAGGTATGACCCTCGCAACTCAATAAACTGGCAGAGGTTTGTGGGAGGAAAGCTCAAAACTGCACTAACCCAATGTTGGATGAAGAGGTCTTCTCTGCGCCAGCCTCCGCTCACCCACGGAGGAGATATCGACACAGTGCTCATCGCTCGAGTCACGGTTCATGGCATCTGTCCGGTTCCTTTTGATGGTGGCTCGCCTGAGCACTGGGAAGGGAAGAGGAAGGGGTGTTGGTGGCCCAACTCTGACAGTAGCCAGCATATTGGACCATGACCTGGTGATCAGTACTTGGCTAACTCGAGTCTGGTAACAGGATGGAGATACCCAGGTGACCCTAGTCCAGAAATATCCCTGTGTGGGATCAGACATCTCCTGGCCTCCATGCTCTCTTAGGGGTTATGCTGTCAATCCATTTCCCCACACCCCTCTCTCAGGCCATGGACCTCACTGGGGCATCCCCAAACCTCCCTCCTCTCATCACAGTGGACAGGCAGAAGGAAGGGCAGGCAGGTGCTTAGGCAGGACTTTGCTTGTCTTACCTTCTAAGGCTGAGGTCCCAGCATTTTTGTTCTCTTCAGCCAGCATGACTTCCTCTACGCAAAACACAGAGTTCAGCATCAGGAGACAAGACACAGTTGGCTGAGCACATCAGACCTCACTGCCTTGTACCTAAACACTTTGCCCAGCCTGGAGGTTGTTGCTCTAGTTGCAAACTCTTGTCAAGTATTGATTAAGTGTCCAAAAGCAAATTCTAGAGGGTGGCAAGCGGCAGCTACTACACATTGCATCAGAAAGAAAAATTACTTGTAATCAACCCTTCTTCCTCCACTGTAATTAACCCCACTAAAGAAGTTAAACATTGTAGACAGGTCTGGGGCCCAACATCCCAACCCAGGACCAAAGCTGAGGTCTGGGGCTCAGGCCTCGTTTCAAGTTACCATCCTTTTTCAAGTCTGAATGCTAGATGAAAGTGTAAATCTTCCCTTCCCAGAGCCAAACACCCTGAACTGATCCCCACAAGGTGCAAGCAAGGACAAGGGCTGTGGCAGTTTGGGGACCAGGACCCATGGGCTGTCGTGCATGGCTGGGTGTGAGCAGGAAGCCTGGAAACTTCCACCATCCCCAGCCCTCACCCAGGTCCAGGTGGGAGCCCTGAGCTGGGAATTAGCCAGTGCATCCCCTCCAGCCTGCTCCAGGAGCAGGTTTAACTGGAAAACCACTGTCACTGTTCACTGCTCTACTTTCCCACCACTGCAGGGGACTCCAGCAAACATCAAGAGAAAGGAAACCATGGCAGAGCAAAGCTCGCAGCAGTGATGCTCACAGCCTTCCCTGGAGATGTAATACGCCTCATGTTCAACATAGGACAGTTTCATGCCACAGGTTTCATCAGCTGTTGGTGATGTCCTTGCTTGCAGCCTGGCCGGACCATCACACCATCTGGGGCCAAGCTCACCCGTGCACCCAATGCCACCATGTGAGCACCTGTGCAACTTTGGGGTTGCACTGGATGATGCTCAGGGATCCCTTCCCGTCCCCACCACTTTGCATGACCAGCACCCTTCAGTGCCCACCACCCACCTGGGAGTCCCCCTGGCCCACCAGCCTTTACCTGCTTTGTCTATCCAAGCCCGGTAGCCGTTGAGCTCCCGCTCAATCTGCTGCTGGCGCCGCAGCTTCATGAAGGCTCGGCGGTTCTCCACTCGCTCACGCTCTTTGGCAAACTCCCTGGGGAAGGGCACAGGGAGGTGGTGAGAGTGCGGCCGGGGGGCAGCAGGGTGCGCAGGGGGGCTGGGGGCACCACTGGGCAGGGAGGGGAGGCAGGGACCAAGGGCAAGCACAAGCCAAGGGCTGCTGGAGCATGTTGGGGCAATGCATGGCCATCCCCAGCCAAAGCATGGCCAGGGGATGGATGAATGAACAGAGAGGAGGAGAAGCTTCTTTGCAGAAGGAAAGGTGCAGACAGACGTGAGCAAACGCCCTGCTTGGTCACTCAGCCCCGCATGCCCCGGCTGGGAGGTGCTGCTGTTCGGGGAGGATGCTCCCAGCACCACCCAACTCCAGCACCAGTTCAGCTTCTGTGTGTCCCTTCAGGGAATAAAAACCGGGCACTGTGAGGAGGCAGCAAGGCAATGGAGAAGGGCAGGTCCTGTACCCTGCCTTCACCTCCTCCTCTGAATCCTTTTTCTTTCCAGCCTCTCCTTGGAGAGTTTTCCCAGGACTTGAGACATCCCTGCTGTCCTTCTCTGGACTTCAGTGTCTCACGCAAACTGTCCAGGCATGATGAGCAGTCCAGAGAAGGACAACAGCTTGGCTTGGCGCCGCAGCAGGCAGGAGGGCAGGCAGGACCTCATGGGCTCTGCGCAGGCAAAGACACCTGCCTGCCTGGGGCCAAATACTGAACAACACCGGCCAGAGCTAATGCCATGCCCACTGCTCATGCAGCCTCTAACACACGTGGTGCACAGATGTACTAGCATCCACGTGCTCACATGCACTGCTAGGCACAATCATAAACACACTCCTCAGTACATAAGATATATGATTTCACCTACAGCCCAGCCCAGAGCTGTCCAAAGACACCCATATGCAGCTAGGGCTATATACACCTTCTCACGTGCAGATAAAACACAAGACCACGCTGGTAAGCATGGTCTGCTTTCTGGTATACACATGCTCATGGTCACACACAGAAGGCCCATGCAGGCTGCCCTCCTGAGGTTTTCACCCACCCTGTACGAAGAAGCACCTGAAGCCCTAAGCATGTATGCAAAGGCCATCACACACAGAGAAATGGAAATACTTGGCAGGAAGCACAGGGGTGGCAACATAGGTAATCTCCCACCCACACCGTGGGTTATACGTGAGACAACACGGCCAGACCTGCTTCTAGGAGGTCCCACACCCAGTGCTCACACACACCACATACCTTGGGCATCTCAAGCCGCACATTATATCTCTATTGACAACCACGTTTGCACACAAGGAGCATCCCTGACACCAGACATCCCCAAGCATACCCTTCCTTCCTTCCTTGCAACAACATCACAGGGATGCAATCTGCTGGCTGCAGCTCCCCATCCCGTCCCTGAGCCCCAGCAGCTACAGAGCCCCCAGCTGCATGGAAGAACCCAGCCCATGCCCTCAGCCTCCTCCCGGTCCCAGGGTGCTCCCAGGGAAGCGTGATTGTGAAGAACAAATGGCACCATTCTCTCTGCAAGACAAACGTCTCTCTCCCCGGAGACTAGCAGCAATCTCCAGTCTAAAAAAAAAATATTCAAAAGAACTGAAAGAATTGGTCTGTCTGCTGCAGAGAGAGTTCAAGTGCATTACCCCAGCTGAGCTATTACACCCTTAATGCTGTGTGGGCTTTCGCATGTGTGTATATGTGCATGTTTGTGTGAAAAGCCCTGAATGTTCCCTGCATCTCTTGTTTAAGATTCCCAGACAATTCAAGCATTTTTAATTCCACCCCAGGAAGGTGAAGTTTCCTGCCGCTCTGGCATTAAGCATCAAATGACTCTCCCCCTCCATCGCGGGCTTTCAGACTGAAATGAGACTTTCTTCCTAGGGCAGGGAAGGGGGAGAGAACAAAAGGCAAGGAAGAGAAAAGCAGGCTAAGTGGAGGGAAGGAGGGCAGGAGGAGACGGGGGAGAAGGAAGGACCTCCCACAGCCAACAGCAAAACACAGTCTCAGCTTTGGGCATGCCATGCCAAAAACCCTCCTTGCCCTAGCTGGAGGAAAGGCAGGACCATTTTGGCTGTGCCATCATCCCCCACCGGCCTTTGTTTGTTAGTAAATTGGATGTCAAGAAATGAGAAGATGCCATCTGCAGTCAGAGTTAGCGGGGAAGTTGCCTCTCACCCTCTGGTTTGGTCCACTGGTCCTCCCATGCGCTGAACCTCTGCTCCATGGGCCATAACCTCACACCAGCCAGCTCCTTGGCAGAAGTTTTGCCAGCCAGACCCTGCAGATATATTCTGCAACCGGAAACACCTGGAAAGCTTTCCCTGATTTACACCAGCTGGGAATCTGGCCCCTCTCTGCCACCTCCTGCTTGCCCATCCCTCTGTCTTCCAGCTCCTCCTCTGCTGAGGCCAGTGCCTCCTTTTGCTGCTCGGTGAGAGGAGCCATCATCATGTGTCCACAATGAAACCCAGAAGGACCAGCTGAGCCTCAAATCCCAGAGGAGGGAATGGGAGCATCTTTTCCAGTGCCCCCCTCATTGAGCACCATTTCCCTCTACCCAACTTTGCTCACGGAGCCCTAATTTGCAAGAAGCTGGTGCCACATGCATCCAGGGACAAGGTCCGTGGAGCTGCAGCAGCGTCTCCGAGGGAGATGCTTCCCACATGCGTGATCCCTAATGGAGCTTAATTGCTTTTGTCCATTAGAAGGAGGAAGGGGTGGCAGAAAGGGGAGGGGGAAAAAAAAAGTTAAGCTTAACTTAATGAATTATTACATTTCAGAGAGACACGTTACCGAGCAGGGCAGCAGCGGGGGTTGGTGACATCTGAGAGTGGGTAGGCGATGCTGACAGATCAAGGATTGCTCAGAGCCAATTTGCAGCAGCGGGTAGAGATAATACTGTATGTGAGTGAGAACAGGGCCAGCAACAGTGACTGACAGCCGCTTGGGAAGGCTCCAAGTCACAGGCAGGGCGACATCACATCGCCGAGAGAGCCGGGCGCCTGCCTCCCATTGAAGGGGTCTGCTCCCCGGCGTGTTTGGGTTACATCGCCAAGGATGGCCCAATTTTGCCTTGCAAAGAGCCTGAGGCTGTGCTGTCCCATGGGATCCCTGCGAGGGGGCTCAGAGGACACCAGCAGAAAGCACGGTCCCTACCAGCCACACCTCTGTTTGTCCACCTGGGTCTCCTGGCCCCAAATCCTGATGCCTCCAGCATGAAAACGTCCACCCACGACAGCCGAGCTCCACTCATGCCGACCCTGTGTCATTGCAGCCCTTCCCCGTCTGGCCTCGTAAAGCCAAAGACACGCAGCGAGCAATGGAGGAGAGCGCTGAAGGTCATGGTGGAAGCTGGGGAGCAGTGTGCCATCTGTCCTCCTGCACTCAAGGGCACCATCCATCCTCATGCCGTGCCCAGCCTGCTGGGGCGATTGGAGCACAGATGGTTCGCTCCTCCTCTGCCTGCAAATTCTCCTCTACAGCCTTGGCATTCCCCTCACATGGCCTGAGAGCGTCTCTGCTCCCAGCAGGAGACCTTGGGGGACACCGCCGCGCTCGGCCGCCTTCCTCCCCGGGCTCCCACGCCCTCACTTGCAACAGGGCAGCGATGCTTTTACTACATCGGTGTGCTCCGCTCAAAGGGCTGGAGAGCCCAGGTCTGGTTTTACCGGGAGAAGAACCCATGTGAAAGCATCCAGCTTGGAAATGGGTCCCTTTTTGTGAAAAAACAAACAAAGAAACAACAAATAAACAAAAAATACCCAAAAAACCCCAACCACAAAAAAACCCCAAACCCAAAAACTAGCTAAGAAAAAAATATCACAGATCTTGCAACCCACATGTATCCTTTCTGGATCTTCTTTGAGTCCTGAGCGGGTATATAGCGCTGGTCATATCAACATTGTGGCTTCCATGCTTTGAAACTACAAGCCAAACATCTTCAAACCCATCAATTCATCGCATTTTGCCACCATTAAAGACGCCTCCAACAAACCAATTAGCAAACAGGTCTTAAAATGATATGAGGCAGCAGAAAGGATGGGGTGGGAAGAGGAGAAATACTGGATTACACACTGAGGATGAGGTAGCAGTACTGTGCTGCTGTGAAAAAAACATATATAATGGGACGTATAGCAAGGAACACCATCTGTAAGACATCAGGTAATACTGCTGCTCTCCTCAGCACTCGCGAGGTCTCAGCTCATGGCTCCGACTCAGTTTTCAGCACCACAATTTGAGCAAAAACCGCCTTCGACTCCAGGAGGGTGTCAGGGAAGGTTATGGGACAGAACTGACAACAGACGGTTTGGAAAACACGGATAAGACAGTTGCAAACCAGGGGGATCAGATGGTATTTATCCAAGAGGTGTAAAGGAACTAAAGTAAGAGTGTTGAACTAACTGTGCAGTCTGTAACTTGGTGCTTCAACTTAAACAGACGGTGGCAAGCAGACACAGCAGAACTGGCATTGCGGACTGGGATTATTGCACTGAACCAATAGTAAAGGCTAGAGCAGGGAGTCCAAAAGGTACAAAAACCTCTGCTAGGGGAAGATGTGCTTCATACATCTGCCAACCGTATCCTGGGCTGCATCAGAAGAAGCGTGGCCAGCAGGTCAAGGGAGGTGATTCTGCCCCTCTACTCTGCTCTGGTGAGACCCCACCTGGAGTATTGCGTCCAGCTCTGGAGCCCTCAGCATAAGAAAGACATGGACCTGTTGGAGAGGGTCCAGAAGAGGGCCACAAAAATGATCAGGGGGACGGAACACCTCTCCTATGAAGAAAGGCTGAGAGAGTTGGGGTTGTTCAGCCTAGAGAAGAGAAGGCTTCGGGGAGACCTTATTGCAGCCTATCAGTACATCAAGGGGGCTTATAAGAAAGATGGCGGCAAACTTTTTAGCAGGGCCTGTTGCGACAGGACAAGGGGGAATGGCTTTAAACTAAAGGGGGGTAGATATAGAC